AAAGAAAATTATTCAACTGACAACGGGAATAGTAGTAAACTTCTGTATGTATATAAGCAGAATAATTTCCGTTGGAAAAGCAACCCTTGCATCACCTCACTTCACCACCAGGATGCAGCAGTGTTCAATCTAACAATAAAGGAGATGCAACTTTTATACAAAAGCTATTTTAGATTACATTTCTACAAGGAAATTGAACTGTCACTTTTCTGATTCTGAATATTGACAAAAAAAGAGCTTGGGGTTTTTTTTCTGCTCCATGAAAGTATCATTTTAAAACAAAAACATACATTCTCCAGTGTTACTGGGATCTTCACTGTGCCTGCATCTTCCATTCGCTTAAATTTTCTGAAATCATACCAAATCTAGAAAAAATTAAGAGAGAATGAGCATGACATGTATGACAAGATCTGTTCCCTCTGCTGATGCAGTTACTCTCCTATTTAAGCTGTCACTATTCCAAACTATTCTTTGATATGCAAGAAAAAGCATTTATTTTTAAAATAAACGACCTTCTGGATGAAAAGAATGAATTATAATTTCTTAAGCACAAAAATAATCAAACCTTTGCTACAGTTTAATGTAGAAATGTCTGCACAATGTCTTGTATGTCTTAAAGCATCTGGAAGTGCAAAACAAACACTTTTTAAATTTTATTTTTTTAAATCTAGTTCTTGAAAAAGCATATTTATATTGAAGAGAAAATTAACAACAAAGTTGCTAATAGGTAACAAAAGAGAGCTGCATCTTAGTCTCCCATGCACCACACTTGCCAGCAGTTTTAAATGCTTTAAGTGTTCCAACCACTCAATTGCTACAGAGATCTTGATAGAAGTGTTTTCCTTAACTTGTCTGGAGAGCCTAGTCTGTTTTTCTCCTTAAACAGAGAAGAATTCTAAGTGTTCTCAGGTGCATTAGCGGAGTTATAAGGCTCTGCATAGTCTCATACATTCCCCTTTGCTGCTTACTCTCTAGAGTTTCAGGCTTCCCCATAGCAACTATTTTCCCCAAATTATTTCCCTTCCTCTATTTCACAGCTCCTGTAGCCAAATGCTCTTTGTAGGAGTGAACCACTGTGCCATCCTGTGGATAAATACCATTAATTCAGAGAACTGTTCTCTGTATGTGTCAGTGTTTAATATACATGTCCCCGGCTACTGAGGCTTGTCTTTCCTTGTTAAAATTTCCCCTTCCCACAGTTTCCCTCTGATTTTCTTCTGACCTTTCTTCAAAGTACCCTTTTTCCCCATATAAAATTAGAAGTTTAACCCAAAAAGAAATACATGAAAAAAGGAAATTGACAATGTAGGGAAGCTGTTCATAGCGATTGATGAGACACAGCAAGCTTTGAAGGGAGATTTAAACCGTGGGTGACTTGAAATTTGTGCAGCAGGTCTTGGAAAAGCAAGAAAGTAAATTTACTGTGAGCCAAGCAAGCAAGCCACCAAGATGGAAGGAAGGGTTCAGAGTGGCACAGCATGGCCAGCCAAGACTTGCCACAGCAATAGTGCTCAGCAGTTATTAGATAGGGAGCTGGAAGGCTTCTGCATAAAATAATTATTTGGGAACAGTTGAGTAATTCATATACATCCTTACCTCCTCTGGCCCTGGAAACAGAACTGTCACTGTCTTGGCCTCTTTCTCTGTGACTGGATGCACCAACAAAGCATTTCCTGGAGAAAAACATAACCACAGCTATGTCAAGGCTGCATCTCCCCAGAGCAGAACCTGTGCTCTGGGGCTGTCAACTTCCCACAGCCATTTCAGGAGCTTGCTTGGGTGTGTCATATGCTTAGGTTCACTTTCTACTGAAGAAAAAGGCCTGTGTGGTGGGGTGATGGCTGACTGACTTCAGCAGCCAGCCATACCACAGTAAAATACACTCATGTTTGGGTAGCAGTTGTTTACTACTGCCATTTTTGAAGCAGATTGTGATCTTAGCTGCTCCACTGAACTTGATGTTCTAGGTCAAAACCAATCATGTTTTTTCAAAGTGACTAGTGAGATACAACTGAGTTTTTGCATCTCCTATGTCCTCTGTTTTCAAAATGAGGTTAAAACTAGGTCACTTAAAGAGGTCTCAAGTTCTATATTCAATTATAATTTTTTTAAGTCTTAGGCAGCATTTTCATGTTTTCTTTTTGTCATGCAACACCTCAAAAATATTTAAATCAAATCCCAGAGAATAAGACACCTGCTTACCCAGCATGTACTCATTTTCCACATCAAAAGTTTCCATTTTCTCTGGAAACTCTATCCAGAG